TTTTTCTGTTCTATTATCTATCACTTAATTCACAATTAGGATGAAAAAAATTTAGTATCACAATAAAGATTCATAAGGTTTTGACTTAATATCATCTCCCTTATAATCAAATCTGTTGAATTGAACATCAGATTTTGGTAGAGAAGACTTCTAAATTTTACATTGAATTGCAAATGTGAACACATATCCAGTAAAATGCATCCAAATCTTGTTTATAAACATAATCTTTATTAAAAAACAATGATTTTGCATCAAACACATCATGAAACTCCGACATATCTATGTATGGTTACAATTTACAACTTCTTAGATTTATTTTTGGAAATCTGAAATGTATTTGCTAGTCATTCACTTAGCAAAATGAAGTGGAGCTTACTGCAAATGATAAAAAAACAATACAGTTTCAACTTAATTGTTGGTAAGGATATTAGTTATGAATCCATTATTCATTTCATTTGTCAAACAAAAATTTAATTCAATTTTGAAATATAAAGCTATTCCCATTTTTAACTAGTTAGAACTAAAATAGAATTTATTTCATAACTATATGAATTTGGCTTGTGAAGTATTATAAATTATTATGATGTCAATTGTTGGTATACACCATCTTAAGAAATGAACAAAAACAAACAATATGGTGGTTAAACATATTGAGTATAGTTTTGATCCTAAGAAGTGAAATTGATGATGGACTGAAAAAAAAATTGCATGAAATGTGTTATTTATATCAAAAATATATTATTTTTTTAACTTTAATTTTTATATATGATCTTTTTATTAATATTTTTTCTTTTTCACTAATATTGTATTATTTCACTAGTTTTCAAAATTTGTTATCAAATTTTTTACTTTGTTAGATTCTACTCTTTATTATTTGAGTTAGACAATATTTAAAAAGTTTAATTTTTTTCAAGATTAAAGTGATATAATCATTATTTTAATCTACTTAAATCAATATATTTGTCAAATTTGGTTGATGTAAGAGTAGTATGTAATTTTTGTTGATGACTTTGTTAAAGTAAAAATAATAACATCCACAATTAAAATCAACATGGTTGATTTATTTATATTCTGGATTGTATATTGAGTTAAACCTCTTCATAGTGTCAACTCATAGAAGATGACAATATTATGAGTGATACTTCCATTACTGACATGAAAATGAAGAACCATTAGTTTTTAACTTATAAATCTCTTCAATAAGAACAGTACATCACCATTGGCAATAGTGACATGAGAATATTCAATAGTGACGGGGTCAAGTTTTGATGCCTATCATAATTAGTGAAAGTATTAGAGCTTGCAGGTTTACAATAGAATGGAATTTGAACACAATTTGGAACTCAAACACAGGTTTAGAATGTACTGTCGAGATGCAAGAAAGATTCCAATGAGAATATATACAATGAAACTATACGATGTGAATTCACTCTGCAGATAACTTTGTAATACGTTTGCTTTTTCTTCCTCAACGACAAACAATCGAGATGTGAGTTTGAATTCAGTGAGAATATTTACAATGAAACTGTACGTACTAAACAAAACTATACTTCTCTGACAAAAAACACACGAACATACAGATAGATTGCAAATCGTTCTTGGCACTAAACTTCATTTTTTCATTGATGCAATTATGATTACTAAACTTCAATCATGTAGATATGACAGAATATAACAACCAAATGCAAACGGTATTCTCATCGTGAATATCTGACGATTGAAACTTCAATGTACATTGTAATAGATCATGTAGAGTAGAGTTTCATAGATTTCTACTCTTGCATGTGAAACAAATAAGCAATGAAGCTTGTTAAATCCATCAATTCAACCTTACAGTCATTTCATACATCCCAATCTGGATACATGACGCATGTCTTGTCCTATATGGATGTGGAAGAAAGAATGTAATTAGGTTAGTTTAGATCTATGTTTGATCAATTTTTAATTTCACTGCAAAATTCAAGTTAGGAAAGAAAAAACATTTTGCATCAAACTGGAGAAATTGAACTTCTTGCTTAAGGCTACAATGACTAGAGTCAGATAGAGTAGACATGAAGTGGATGCAATTGTAAACATAAATTCATATTCACAGTTTTTAGTCGACTACATATCCGCAATTTTCATAATTTAGGAAAACATTAACAAATGACTTGTAGCAAAAATTCAAAAATCAATGTTTTGATGAAATTCAAATTGAAAATTTAACTATTTCAAATTTTGGATGATGAATCAATGTACAACGAGCTCTTTGGAGGTTGGAAAACAGTTTACTTTGAAGTTCTATCAATAAAGATGATTCATTAAAAACAAGATTGATCAAATTAGTGATTGCCCAATTTGTTTACTTGACGGTCATCAAAAGCAAAATTTCACCGACATCATCGACATCTGCACTGCTGGCACTCTGTAGAAGATTGTGTTGTTTCAGCATTGATTTGACAATGCTAACATCATCAACATTGTCATTAGCAGAAGCATCAATAGCATTGATTTCAATAACATCTTGTTAACTTCTTTAATACTTGTGTTTTCAAATCCAAGAACGATGATGAAAGAATTATAGAGTCAAATCTCTTGCAGAATCTTGAACTAGAATTAAATTTATCAACATATTGGTTAGCAATCACATTTGATTCAAGAGATAAACAATTGATTTAAACATCCGATGTTGATTTGATACAACCAAGTATGTTCAATCGTCCGCCACATTTCATATTGAAAGATTAGATGATTCAATTGAACATGACAAAATTGCGCTTTGAAAGACCTAATGATTACTTGATCAAGAGATTGACATTTTTTAATAGCATTTGATAGAATAAAAATGATACGCATGGTGTGATGTCAGAAAAAGTTTATGTTGATATGAATGGAGCTAAAATTTTGGACGCAGAAACATGAAATGAAGAATTATCTTGAAGTATATAGAAGATGTGGTTGCAATTCTTGATAATTGAGTTGTACTTGTTAAACGGATGCATATATGACAATGTATTTTGCCAAGCTTTAGTTTGATGATCATGGATAATTCCGTACTTTTTATTGATATCCAAAATATTCTTCAAAGTACGTGAAAAATCACTCTTTGTGATAACTAGCGTGATAAATTTTTCACCTGAAGCGCTAACTCCAAGCGTCACTATGAATTTTTATTAGCTCCGCTTGACGCCACGATCATTTGAATTAACTTTGTAATATGATCTTGGTGATGTTGTGCAATGTTGTAAAATCGATTTGTAAATGTTGATAATGCATTCGAGTGATACATCAATCAAAATTTTGCAAATTTAATGCAAACGTTTTTCCACATGCATAAGATGGAAACTGTTTTGTTTACCGCATGTCTTCTTACTGGATGTAGAGATGCGCTTCAGATAATTTCAAGCTATCCATTCGAGGCAACAAATGTATGATGAAAAAGTATGTTTAATGATATCGAACAATCTGCAATGTCAAACAAAATCCTGTCTCAAAAAAACTTTTTCTTGTGCATCTCGCTAGTCACTTTAATCGTGGGCGCATACATCTCAACGCAAATATGTCATTGATGCACCATGTTTGTAAAAAGTTGCATTCGCTTTAGTGTCAAAATCTTTTAAAACTCATTTCGATTTTGATTCTAACACTACATGTTCAATAACTTCTTTCTCCTTCCAGATGTTTGGAACAGTTGAATGTGCAATCAAAAATGTTGATGATGCTTGTTCATGGGTGACTTCAGGTTGATTCAGAAAATTCATATGTGCCAACTTTGTCTTCACATCCAAGAGATTACATTTAGACATGTGTGCACTATAACAACAACAACGTTGAGAAAGACAAAAAAAAGTAAAGCAACAACAAACAAAAGCAAAGAAAGCGCGAAACAACAATTTGTTTAGGAGCGGTGGAACCATAAACGCTACGAAGCCTCTTGTAAATGACAACTCCCAACAATGACAGTTACTCGAAATACTAGAACCTATGTGTGTAAGTATTGGGAGATTTAAAAGTGCAGTTCACATTTTTTGTGTTTCGTCGCGATATACACACAAGCTTTTGAGCAACTATTCAAAAACTAAGGTTTGTATTGCATTTATTAGTCTAAAAAATTCAATCATTCAGTTAGAAAACAATTTATGTATAATACAAAGGTAATTCTTTGCCGCTACGCTCACGAGAATACAACTATTCTTTTCATTAGACTAAAGTGTCTGAAATTACAATGACCTCTGTCATATAATAACAATATAATATATCAAATAACCATGGTTGAACAAACTAGAATCAAATTATGTCTATCATTAATTTAACAAGAGATGGAAAAAATTCACAAGATTATGTCTTGGTTGCACATACAGCGAACAATATACTCTACTCTCGACATTTAGAATATGGGGTTAGAAGGTAAGTCAACTTAGATTCACTATATTCAGTTAGTTTTTCACCATCGTAAGTATTAACCTATAAACTGATGGTTTCTCGAGCTTTTTTGTTTACTGTGGTCGCTGACTTTCAGGAGATTTGACATACTTGAGATACCGTTTGCTTGAAGTGTGTCACATGCACGTTGTCACAAGGAGTGAGTGTACACACAAATCCACATGTACAAGTCATTTAAGGTGTCTGTTCATCGGCTATTCTACAACGACATATTTTCCATAGATAGACTATGTATTCAGTCAAGCATATTCAATTTTCAAATTTTACTTTTTTCCTGGCTGCTGTGTTCCGGGGAAAAGTAGTCTTGCCGACTTTTCTGTGGCGAAATGTAATTTGTTTTCTGTTTTATCGTGCAATGTTATGTTACGCTTGCTGTTCATTTTCTGAACTTAACTTTTAAATTGATGCGTGTTGAAACATGACTAGTTCCCCAAGTAGCTGGATACACTGCGGAAGTCAGCTTTTTGTAGATGCTCTTCGCCACAACAGATCAGTGTCGAAGTTTTCCCTACCACGGCTGAATGACGGAGACTTTTAACAGGATGGATGAGAGAATACACTTGAACTTTTATTTACATGTCCGGAAAATATGTTCTACTCATTTATTAGACGACAACTTCGTCATGTTGTGGTGACCACAACAGTTTGGAAGTGTAGTTTTATGTACAATGTCACGTGAAGAAGTCTCACGACCTGACAGACGATATATCCAGTCAGGACCCGATATCATCATGTCTCGCCTAAGTGCTGGAGGAAAATCTGCTAAGATACCATGTTTACCATCAATATTTCTCACAATGAGTAGAGATGGTATCAAACAACATGAGCAGCATGCTTTGCCCTTTGAGGGACGAAAGACATAAACAAGGTGTGAAGCTATAGTCTAACTGCCGTGTATATTGTATAATGTACATAAGTGCCTCCTGCGATAGAGGAGTCCATATTGGTACCATGTTCAGAACATTCCTTGCTGAGGGAGCAAGGTGAACTGGGATGTGCATCACACCTGAGCTTGAACTGTTGCAGACCGTGTTGTCTGACTTCTGTCTTCGTGAATTACTTGGATGCATCGCAAAACTTCAGCTGAGTCCAGAATCCCATCGAAAACGAACGAGGCCACGAAGATCTCGACGTCGAAGGTCCAGTCATTGTTTACACGTACCTGAAAGCACTCAAGCAGCAATGGGAATGTGCATCAGGCATGCCCTACGCGGTCACTTGCTTCAGGGATCGGAGCTTACGTCCAGGACGCTCAGTAGTCACCGCAGCCTCCAGTTGGGAAGGCAAATTTTCCTTGCCACCCACGGCAGCGAGATGCTTCATGGAACCGATCTTCTTCGTAGTTTCAGTAGACTTGGAAGCCTTCGTCTGTTTGGCATCGTCGTGAGCGACGCATGTGCTGTCTCCAGTGGCTTGATTTGGTTTCGCCTTCAGAGGAGCTCTGGTAGTTGCTGCTGCCGACCGAGGTTTGGAGATTTTCGTGGGCTTAGCGGCTTGATCGACTGTGACCTTCCGTTCCCTCGAAATCTTGATATTCACGCTTGCAAGTTTCTCAGTCAGTTCGCCAATGCTCTTGTCTTCCGTCACGGCCGGCTTCTTCATGGCGATGCGAACTGGGTGGTGGCTACAGCCGACGCACATCGTGCATATACGGGGTCTGCTAACTCTGCTCGAAGCCCGAAGAGCGGACGCCACTGGGACTGCTGCTTGCTGTGCCATCTCCGAACACAAAGCGCTGTCAGACACAACCATGGCCGGCGGCTCGACGACATCAGGAAGAGGCGTGACAACAACAGCAACAGCAGGCTCGGCAGCAGAATCGATCTTCGAAGCACTGGCACCGACAACCGCATTCTCAGGCTTCCGCAGTTTCTCCAGCCCGTCGATTAATTCTTGTTTGTTGCCCTTCGTGGGGAGGCCCTCCTTTTTGCTCATCTCCTTCAGCTGCTTGTGATTGAGGCTCCCATAATCCATTCTGTCCAGATTTCTCGAACGATTGAAACGCAAGAAGACGAAGCTCTAGTGCAATCCCAGAGGCGGATCTGAACTCGAGACTTGCTGGCATCAAATGTCGGCGATATTGACAAAGTGAAGTTTCGACGTGGGGACGAACATTTATAGTTTCAACCCAAGAGACGACAAACCAGTAAATGGCGGGAACTGGTCAGGTTTGAAAGCATCAGCCCGAAACTCAACGGCCATGTACCAACGGACATTTGGAGGACAACTAGCCGACACCGGAATGCTCTCTACCGGCCTCAATTTCAATGCACAAAGAGCCGATAAAACAAAAATCCTATCATGAATTTATATTATAAAAATGCCTAAATCTGTAATATTTGGTAACACCTTAGAAAATGTCTAATTCACTTTTCAACTGCTTCAAATGTAAAAAATATAATAAACAGTATCACATACATCTAGATCAAAATAAAAATTTCAAAATGACTTTGAATGGTATGGAATCTTTTAATATTCCATTCGTATTTGTATGTTTTACTTAAATTTAATTCAGATGTCATGCAGAAAAAATTCTAAAACAAATAATACCAATGTACGCATAAACTAATAAGTGATGGGCTATTGGAGAACTCTAAATCTGAGCATGAAAATTTTCATTTTATAGTTTTATATGTTTATAGAAATATTTTCATGAATATTCTATTGAATCACGCGAAAGAATTTATAAAACACAACCAAAAAAAAGTATGGTTTGTCACTCTTTGTTGAGGTTAATTCCAGTCAAGAGTTAACCTCAAGTTCTATTATTATAGTTAGGTTGGTTACCGGTGGGGTTTGATATCTATACCCAAGGTTTGTGTAATGCCAGACAGATTGTTCAGTACAATCTTTAGATTTTTTTTCCGCCGACGTAGCACTTGAGAGTATGAATCACCTTATTCGTTGGTGTCTTTTGTGTTTAAAATTTGGCTTGAGTGTGTCACAATGTTTCTCGTTTTTTTAACGTAACATTCTACTATTTGAACGTGCTTGCAACATGAGTAGTCACCACAACGAGTAGTCAACCGACTGACAGAACCCCAACAATAGACTAAACTCTAACAATCTGAGGACATAAGTTATTTTTTTAAATATTACTATTTAATAAAAGATATTCATTTACATAACATTGAGTTTAAAAAATGTTGCATTCATGATAAATATATCTTTATGTCAAAATCCCAAGTTTTGAATAACTAATCATATGCTTGAATTCTAAAACTCAAAAATTGCTAATTTTAAGAATATTAAATATTCATACTTGATAATGTATATTGTCAAGCAAGTAACATCACATCTAAGAAGACAACAGTTTTTTATACATTATATGTAAGTTTTTTTAAGCTCTTGGAGTTTTGAAATTTGTTACCATGCAAAATCCTGGTTATATCCTGGATTTTGCTTGGTAACAAATTTCAAAATGATGCATTTTATATTCATACATCATCATTTAGAGTAACATATATTATCACAGGTTATCTCATATTTCAAATATTTGATAACATAATTCCATTGAAAATTTTAATTTATGCATATGTTATGACAATCTATGTATACATTTGATTCACACATATATGTGTTGCTAATAAATCAACTTTTTATTTTGAAACTAGTAACTTACATGTACAGTTTCATCTATACAAGAAAGAGAAGACATAGAAAATATATATCGAATCCTTTCACAAACGACAAAATTATTTTTATAAAGATTATATTCATCTCTCTTATATAATTGTATCAAACAAATAATCATCAATCAAGGTCAAATTTATTAAAAGAATTTAATACATATGCACATTTTGAAACAAAACATGACAATTTCAACATCAATCCTATCATCATTATATTCAATCTTATCAATTATGATGAAATTCATTATCACTAAATTTAATTTTTATCATATAAATATCTGCTAACCTTTTGCATAGAGCTATCTAATAAATCTAATCAATTCAGTTTATTAAACATCAAAATGTATTATCACTTTGCACTTGATGCTCTGTAAAGGTTTTCCAAATTTCAATAATAATGTAATGTAATAATCTTCATAAAGCTAAATGGTTCATAAACCAAAAAAAAAGCAAAAAAATATATTCTTGAATGAAATACTGATAAAATCTGGGAAAAAAATTAAAAAAATCTGAATTGTTTGTTCCGTTTTGAAAATATGTTGTCATTCATATAATTCAAAATTTTCTTAATATATTGAATGACTAAAGGAGTTGACATGATATGATGAATTTAAAGACAGTGTAAGTATACTTGTAAGTAATATAGTTTTTTTACGTTTCATCTGAAAAAACGAAAAGATGTATGTTTGAAAGATAAGTAAACCAATTATAAAGATAAATCTTACTAAAGTTTGATTACATGTGACATTTCAAATCTTTTTTTTTGCTCAAATCCATTATGAAAGATGTCTCATATTTATTTTTTTGCTTGAAAAATATTGATGATAAAAAATTAATAAGATGTTTATGAAAAATGGAAAAAATGAATTCTATTGAACAATAAAAAATACTATCATTATGTATTATATAATACAACGTCTTTGTGCATTTTATTTTTGTCAATATCATCTGAATGAAATTTCATTCTTAAAACAAATACAGCTAAAGACAAGATTTGTTTTTATAAGAAATTTTTACATTGAAATTCATCTATATACTATAAAATTGAATTAGAAATATGTTTTTGAAAAATACTATTCATAATTTTTGAAACACAAGATAGACAAAAAAAATAAAATATGATGCCTTTAAATGTAAAATTTCTTATTTTAACTCTGAAATAAAAAATATGTTAACGAAACTGAAAATATCTTGAATCAAAAAATAAAGATTGATTTTTTGATGGTTCATTGAAATCTAAGAATTTTATTGATACGATGAAACATTATCAAAGATTTGTGTTGTAATATTATTATAAATCTACTGAATCACATAAAAAAAGCACACAATATGAGATTGTTTGAAGCATGAAATATTAATAGTTTTGCTATATTAGTTGATCATAACATTGGTGAATATTCCTAGTTTTGATTATGTCAACAAAGATCAAAATTTTTTTTAACTGCATATCAAATATTGCAGAAAGATATATAATGAATCAATAAGCTGCAAAAATTTCTGCTCATTCTATTGTTTATGCTATTAAAGATGTGTGTATGAGAATTATCTACATCACCCGCATATGTACATGGTTCAACTCCACATGAGTCTACATCTGCAGTCCAGATAAAAGTTTCACTAAAGTGTGGATGTTATATCATGGTTCCATAGCTTAGCTCTCTATCCTGCAGTGTACATGTATAATTAAACTAAAACGTGCTATCCCAAACTCTAACTAGTTTCCAATCATAACTATGGTTAAACTAATCACAATTAACAAGACGCGCATTCAGGGTTTACATAATGTTAAAATAAGGTTTTTGGTCTTAGGGATTTATAGTATATTACTATGTGATAACATGACTTCAAATTATATTTTTTGTAAATCTAATGCTTAAAATATGATAGTTAGATTTGGACTCTATCATTGAAGATTGATTATGTAAAAAATAGTTATCTTGTGTATTGAATAAACAAAAAGAAATCAAGTAATTGATGATATCATTTTAGGTAAAAATTTAGATAATTAGGCTCTATCATGCTATTTCAAAAAGTCTTTTTGTCTAGCTTAAAGTAAGTTAAAATTATGTACTATATATTGTGGTAATTTTACTTTAAAAATCTTATGCTATACAAATCGTTTGCCAAGGGTAACACTATATTCATAATTTTTTCAAGAATTAGCATTAAGTTGATGTAATTGAAGATATTTTTTTTTATCATCTATTTATTTTGCAAAAATTCTCACCCGGTATCATTCATATGATTTTTCAAAGTTTTAGATGTTTATATCATCTGAAAAACGGATTTGTTATAGAAACATACAGATAAAATTAGAATGAAAAAACTTGACAAATGAAAGAAAATTCTTAGCTAATTTGAATTTGCTATTCTTCTAGAAAAATGCATAATGTTAATGAACTAAATACTAAAGAAAATGTGCATGTGAGTGATTTTTTGTCTGAAGATGAATACAATGTTACACTGCAGTCTTGAGCTTTGGTAGAATCAAGTATTTAGAGTGGTAGTTCATTGATTGCATTTTATTAGACATACCTAGTGTAACATAAATATTAAAACTCGTATCAGACGTACTCTTGAATTCGGTTTCATGTGTAGCAAATGAACTAAAGAAAAGTAAGTAAAATGTGGAACAGATGGAAGAGCCAGTTGCTTGATTAGGAACAATTGTGCATAAGGTATGTTGAACTTTAAATTCCATATAGATCATTAGCAAAAATCAGAAATAAAAAATGTCATGAGAAGATTTTAGTTTGATGCTGGAATTATCTACGTCTAGATATTTGTGAGTATGTTAGAAACAAGGAGCAAATCGTGGTTGGATGAGAAGGATATGGAGATACGGGTTTTTCAGAGGTAAATCAGAAGAAGAATCAGCGAAATGTTGATAATTTACATTTTCCAAGTTGGAAATTTTGATAGCGGAAAAGTGCAACATGTTCAAGAGTTGTTACTATATGGGAAAAAAACTCTTGTCATGAATAAGTCTATTGATATTAATAACAAGCTAGAACACAAACTGCAGCATATATCATCCATTTATATTGATAATACTGTGTCTTGGATATAATGGATGATTTAAGAATTGCACAAATCGTACCTTTTTTCCCTTCATTTCATTATAATTAAGTTTGCCTCACAATATGATGTGAGGCAATAATGTGAGTAACACTGAATAAAAACAAAGAATTGTTGGATTTCGGAGACATCCAACATTCTTTGATGAGATCTTGTGAATAAAATAATCATTGAGCCAAACTCACGGTTATAGGAAGTATGTTCTGAATTGGAATGGTTGAGCAGGTCATAAAATATTTTATTATAACTGCCTAGAATTTTTGTCCGAATGAGAAGAAAATAAATTAAGTTCGTAAAAGACGCTTAATTAAAGACTATTTAATTGCAAAATCTTTACGATGATGTAATTCATTTTATCTTAAAGAATCACATATTCTTGCAAGCATGAAGTTTACGTTCTTGGATTGTATATTACATGAATTTGAGCGCAGAATTTGAGAAATTTTTTCAACCATGTACATGCAATGGAAGAAAACTTACATTGAGAGAAATTTTTTGCATACATTTCGATCAATGTGCATGCACAAATGAATTGGATGAATCCTCATGAATTCACAAAGTACCAGATTGACTATGATTTGAACCGTGATGATAGTGGATGGAACATCCGAGTTTCATGTGATTTCATGCGGACCTAGAGATCCAATTCTTGGAATGGAGTGTACAAATTCTTGGAATGGAGTGTACAAAGGTCCAAAATTTAAAACAAAACTTCTCTGTGGTGGATTGGGAGGATGTTATGAAATTGATCTAGTTAAAGTATGGAGATCGATACGGTAGAGTCCAGCATAAGATAAAGTCGGAGCCTAGAGATAACAGAATGAAGCACAACTTCATGAAATAGTCGTCCACCTTGTTCCGGAATCGAAGACCTCCATGCCAAAACATAAAACCCACGAGTAACGAGGAACCAAAATTTGATCCACATGCAATCAAATTAGAAGTTAGAGTTTATGGCCATCTATGTATTACTAAAGAGGAAAGACACATGAAGCTAGTTTGTATGATGCGCATGAACGATGAAAATCTACGGCGGGGTATGATAATAATACACAGATGTATTAAGAAATATGTGAAATTCGTTAGTAATAAATTCGGGTTCTGGTTAATATAGATGATTAAAATTTTCCTCCATGATTTGATAGTTTTAGACTAATATGGGACTCTGGATTCCTTTCGCCGCGTACTATGTGATAGAGGGTTTAGGTTAAGTTTACCACACAGGAAAGCTGGAAGTGTGACTGTATAGACTATGTTATTAATAACGGTTTCTGGTACTACATATACAATACTAGTTGAGACAATCCATACGATAGAAAACTCCTTCACGTGATAATCTTTTGGATAAGGATGAGAGAACCACAAGAAAAGGAAATCTCCTGAGTATTCACCTTAGAAGACATGTAAAAACAGTGAAACATGGTAAAAAATTACAGATGGGAAATAAGTGAGCCCAGTACCGGTGAAAACGAAGGTCTTGCCCCATGCCGCAAGGTCTTGTTCGGCATGTTGTCTGAGCCGAAAGAATTTACCTCCACATCAAAGCCAGCGTGCAGACATCTCCCTCGTGACAAGGACCGTTCTTTTTCTACCAACAAGCGGCGCCATCCACTATTCGAGTGTGTTAAGAGAGTCATATTCACAGATGTGTTCCAGGGTTGTGTCCAAGCTAGAGGTGAACATTATCATTCAACCAGCCTTCAAGTCAGAGTTGTCAAATTTAAGTTCAAAGTGATCAACAAGTCGTGAGATTACTTCTTGAGGTTCCATGGATAACAAAACGATTGATCAAGTGTCCCATTTTTAGAATCGAAGAAATCAAATCTGAGACTCCCATGAATATCCCATACACCATTGAGATAACAATAAAAAAGTTTCCCCTTAAGAGGAATGCAAAAACAAACAGCAACGATGCATACTAGACATCAATAGGAGCTGAAGCCAAGCTACTGTAGAAACGCAAGAGTACATTCGAAATAAGATTCCACACCAACCAAGGCAACAGAGGTGAGCGTTGTGTCTACTTGACAAATTGGTAGAAAGTCTTACAAAGTTTTCTATGCAATCTACATTGGATTTTCTATGCATTCTACACTGGAACCTGCTGATCACCTTTCTAAGGACTAAAAGTAGGACCATAATTATGGACATCCGGCTCCTGATATCCAGTACGCGAAGAGGGCAAATGTGACCTTCGATTTTTCTCCTTCACCGTCAGAGAAGTTCTCGGGCCTGAACTCAGTTTCGTATAACTCCTATTCAAATTCGATAATAGATCTGCAGAACGAATCACAAAAAGAACAATCAGACTCCGGCATTCACATTCAAAGATAGCCTCTTCACCAAAATATAATCGATATTGTTAACATACATGACATTGACAAATAAACCGCAAAACAAAGTACTGACAGATGAACAGGGATATATTAGTTTGAATTAAACGATGCACCGTGCCCACTTTTGAACCCCCATCAAATGCTTCTTTAGGTAAAATTAGAAACGTATGCCTAGTTGGAATCGTAGCTCAGCCGTGTGAAGAAGAAAAATTCAAAATACATTACGCCCGGTTCAAGTTCGGCTTTAAACACTTTGGCCCCCAGCACTGTGAAGACTGTAACTATCAGCATAACTCAAATCAAAATTGCTGTCATGTCAGTGCACTTCGTTCAAGTTTACGGTGTGCCCTAAGAAGCTAAGAGTTAAATGGTCCTAATTCTAGTAAACATTCCTGGTTGGTGGGTTCCGGTTTTAAAGTAAAAAACAAAATGGTTATAAAACCATTTGCTCAAAGGATATGAAAAGCAATTAACACAAAAGAACATAGTTCATTCTTTTGCTTCACATCATCAAAGGTAAAATTTGATTAACCTCGGATGGATTGCGAGCAGGTAGGCCTCTCTACCTTCCTTCAGGGATAAAATGTCCAGAAAGTGAAAGGACTGTACAATCCCAACTTGGCTCAATCTGTATCAGAGTGAATCATCGCATCCGCATCTCTCTGTGCAGCCGCAGCTGCCTCCGTATCACATTCCTCCTCTCCAAGAGGTTCATGTAAGTGGAGATGATCTGAAACCCATGCAGCAGTCGAACCGACTCTCTCCCATGCAACAGAATGAATATTGCGTGGGTCCTCACAAGTGGGATGAAGAGAGCATGGAAGCTCTAGAAACGGTACTGAGCTTTCCTCCCTAATGGAATTACCCAATACACTAACAAGGACACAAGGGCTACTCAAAGAGCTGCTTTTACAATACATGAGCTCGGTCCTGCCACCTGAATAGATTGCAGATGGTTCTCCCATCTCGTCGGAAGAATTCATCTCCAGTCCTATACCACTCTCAAATCCCTCCTGATCAGCTCCAAAGGGCGATTCATTATCATATCCTAAGAGTGCTAGCTCTCCAAATTCGGGATTCTCTTTCCTGGGCTTCTTCCATCTTTTCGTTGACGAAGTACCATCGTCTTCGAAATCGTCTTCCTGTCTCTCTGTGTGTAAGTACATCCATAATTTCCTTTCCCCATCAAATTTGACACATGGGTCTCTCTCGTAGTGTAAACGATCAAGGGCCCCACTGACCACTTGATTTACCTGTAAATCAGATACATCCTCTACAATGTACTGGGAGTCACGAATTAGTGTGCAGACATCTGCCCGGGTGCCAACACTTCCAGGGAGCCTGGCAGCAGCATCTCTCACGAGACAAAGGATGGTTACATGAGGTGGCCGATCGGGTTTGAGCATGAAGTGATCTCGGGCCTTGGATGTAGGCTTACCACCTCCCCTTCTCAGTGGAGAGACGACAGACTTTCGACCATCAGCGGTAGTATAAGCGAAGGCTCTATCGGGCAGAGTATACCGAAGAATCTCTTCTCTTCGGAAATAAGCCCTCATGTCATCGGAACTGGCTGTGATCGTCATTAGGCTTTTTTGAGCTCTCAGGTCCCTAAATCTTTCTTTCTCATCAAGAGATATCAGGGCTGGTGGTGTTGGTGGTAGCGGCAATTGGACTATTTGTTGAAGCGTTTCTTGACCATGCTTGAGCCAAGCTGCAAACGCCTCTTCCATCTTGGTAAGCGTCTTCTGTGAAACTCCCCACGCTTCTGATGTGACCAGCACCTCATGTGGAGGATCAAAGGATGAGGCCAGGAGCACTGGCCCGACCCACGACCATGTCCTCGAAACTTTGTCAAAATTTGCTAAAGGCTTCCAGCCTTTCGACCCGGGGCGAGCTGCTTTTGAAGAAAAAACCTTCAATGCTCCACGAACCAAATTACTCAGCGGTTCTTCAGTTTCTAAAATTCTAAAATCCCCGGGATTATTTTGTACCCTTAGCACAATTTCAGCCAATGATATCCCTTGGGTTCTTGTCTCTCCGTCTAATTCAGAAACTCCTACCAGATTTGGTAAATCATCATCAAATACACCTGAAAGTTCCGGACTTCTTCTGCGACCTTCTATGTCAAAATCGTCTACAAGATGTGAGACCCCATCACCAAATACACCTGGGGAGTGGTCACTGTGCTCCAAAGATAAATCATGATAGTGACCAAGAAAAACTTTCTCATAACCAAAAGCTCCATCAGGAGCTCCATTCTGATTATGGAATTCAGTATTTATATCTCCACATGGAAGTGTCAACGCCATACGAACAGCTGACAACAAATGTGTGACAGAGAAAGAAAAGGTTGAGGCGATGGATGGCACACTCAGGGTAGATAGCTTTTTAGAACACTTAACTGAAGCTCCTCTCTCTCCAGCAAGATCCTCAGGAGTAGTTTCCCGTGGTGAGGCCTCCCTCTTCGTTTCCTTTGCTTTCTTCTTGGACTTTCTCTTTGGGATCTTGAGTACATCGTCATCCCTTAAATCCATGTGCTCTCGACCATTATGGCTTTCGTCCTGCCTCGTTTCAATCATCAGCCGTCTATCCTCTACATGCTCGAAATCATCGTCCTCGTCCACGAACTTCTTATGCTCCTCAACAGGTTTCTTCCGTGATGCCTTCTTCTTGACAAGAGAGAGCTTTCTCTCCTCTTCTACAAATTTCTCTTCTTCGTTGTCTTGCGCTTCCTCAAAAGCCCGATAAAACGTCTTGGGGAAGGATTTCACCTTCTTTCGACTCTCTTGTGGGGGGGTCCTTTTCCGTGGGTGGGCCTCGTGAGGAGGAGTCTCTGCTACATACAGTGTCTGCGGTTCACTCTGCTTATCTGCAAAAATTTCCTGATCATCTACTCGTTTCTTCCTCTTTCTATCCCCTCCTAAACTCCGTTTCTTCTCATCACTCATGGGATTCATCATAATCCTACTCTGATCTAAAACCTCTACCTCTTTGACAGGCTTCGCTGTCTTGAATACTTTGGTTGGTTTCACCTCCCTAACTATAGACTCTCTCTTAGGCTCGAGTATAACAGCCTTTTCCCTGAGTGACGGATCCGGTTTGGCGTAGGCTTGGACGCCTTTCGATGCAACCTTCAGAACGCCCTTCGGAGCTGGGACATGCACTCTTTCGAGCTCCCTTTCAGGTCCACTCTTCGATCCTCCCCCTTGCTCCGCTTTCGGAGCAATCACCTTCATCTTCAAAACACCTTTCGAACCTCCTCTGGAATTTGCAGCGGCGACTGGGATGGGAACAGGAGAGACTACAATTCGCCTCTCCTCAGGTATTTCCACCTTCTTGCGGAAAATGGGCATGGGCATGGACATGGGCGTGGGCACAGGCACGGTCACGGGCATCACCTTGGGCTTTTTGGCACCTCCGCTCCTCTTCCTGGGACCCGGTGTTAGCTGTGCAATCGTCGGCGTCAACTTTTCGCCCTTCCAAGAGCTCCAAATCTCCAGCCGTTCATCGATGTCAGCAGTTTCTGGGCAGTCTTCCCAGGACTTCTGCATCTCCAAAAAGGAGTTCACCATTTCATTATGGTAATTTCGTAGCAGATGGTAATGTTTCTTCCTCTGGACATACTTCAAGCTCTCGTGGTAACGGGCGACCTTGGGAGCGCACAAACCACCTTTCAACCTGTTGAAAAGGTCGGCGAGAGGACTTCCAAAGTGGAAATTCTGGCCGCTAAGAAGATCGCGCATGGTTGCCCGGAAATCATCCTCCTCGAAAGCGGGGAGAAACGAGACGAGGAATTCTCTCTCATCTTCCGAGAGACAAAAATTCCAGGTGTCCAAGGATAAAATGTTGTTCAAGTCCGGCAGGTGAAAAAGCTCAATTGGCACCGCACAAATTTCGTCTCCGAGTTGGCACAACTCACTTCCTTTATCAGCAAACTCTGCATCGTCGGAAACATCTGATTCGAGAAATAGTGCATTTTTTGGAGGCTTCGATTTCTGTCTCACAGTAAGGTCATCATCATCTGTGGAAGAGCCTGAGTACGTACCAGCCCTACCTGACTTCGAAGCGCTCCCGATAATAGCCATCGAACTTATTGACAACAAGATTGCACACGCTAGAAAAGATGCAAACAAATTCACATACTCAAGAGATCACGATCGCTAGGTCACAACATCTGAGACGAACAATCCTCCCACCGTGCTGCCGCTAATCTTGAATCGACCATCACAATTGCTCCGCTTCTGAAAATGAAGCTGCGAATGTATACCGAACCGCACAGTCCAATTCAATGCCGTGCTGGCTCACTGGCTTCGAATCAAGGAGGCGCCAACAGCACATCCTCTCAAGAGCCGACGTGAAAATAACGGACAAAGATCAACATATCAGAGTCACGCTCCATTTCATCGCCGTTCTCCCGACCCTCACACCCTCAGTTACGCGGGCTCATGGAATCATGGGATTGTCTCTGGGCGATAACAACGACAGTTCTCCGGCACACACAGGCCTCGGCGTAAACTACAATTCGCTCGACGACGCCTCGCTCAATTCAGGGCACACGATACGAAGGACTTGAGGTTCGTCGGATTCGCGCTGGGAACCGCTCCTCATCGAGAGCGGCAAATCGCTGCACGACGGGGTCTCACCGCTCCGACCATTTCGAGCATCTCCGCGCCCGTTTCCGACCAGCATCGAATGTCGCCGCAACGTTCAGAGCCGGACGAGCAGGCTCGCGACACTCCGCCACAAGACTCCAATCAATCGATTCGGTGCTTCGCGGAGATGGGAGTTCCGACTGCGAGAGTCCGGCCCGTGGCCCCGGTCCTCGTCACCGCATTCTCAAGCGGGAAAGGGTCGCATGAAAACCAGCAACAGCTGATCTTCGAGCCGTCCCAGAAATCACGTCTCCGGCAGAGGAGGGAGGCAATTTCCCTGCTGCACACGCCCCCGGGCTCTCCCCTCTGCCCCTCTCACCTGCAGCAACAGCAGCAGCGGCAGCAGCAGCTAGGTGCCGGACTTGCGCCTATCCGGAGCAGTAGCCAGACAAGGGCCATCCACCATGGCCCCGCCGTGCCCCTACGAGCGCGCGTTCTTTCCCGAAAGAAAACAACGGCACCCGATCATTCGTCGGGCGAACCCTGATCCACTTCCTCCACCACCACACCTCCTCCTCCTATTACTCGCCCGCAGCCCAAGCACGCGACGGACATTGAGAAGCGAAACAGCTCATCCTCCTACTTGTTGCTGCAGCCTGCTTCTGCTGGGCCTCTCGGGAGCCGGGACCTCTCTCGTCGAGCCTGATGTCCATACCAAGCCATGCGTTGTTCTTCTTCCTTCTTCTTCTTCTTCTTCCTTATCGGTTCACTTCTTGCTGCTGCTTTTCGCAGAATGGCGTGAGTCTTGTCGTTCGTTGAGATGTTGTTTCGAGTTGTGGTTGTTCATTGATTTGTGAGTTAGTTCTTCCTTGTTCTCCTTCTTGCTGTGCAGCAGATCCGGCACCACCAGCAGCAGCTCCAGCAGCCGCAGCTGCAGCTGCAGCAACGACAGCCCCGGAGTGCATCGTCGCCATCAACTCACCTCAACTCCTCTTCCTCCACCTCCACCTCCACCCCGATAATAGCAGCCCGGCCCTCAAGAAGCACCAGCCGCTGCTGCAGTAGCACAACGGCAGCAGCACTCCCTGGCCGCCCCGCCGGCCGCTGCTGCTGTTGCTTGCTACTTCGGTGCCAGCACCGCTCCTCTCTCCCCTCGTTTCCTTCTCCTCCTCCTTCCTCCTCTCCGATTGCCTCGCACCGCGAGCGCGACCTGCTACTCCCGGTGTCGCCCGCGCCGCCGACCGGTCGCCCCCGTCCCGCGCCTTGTCCGTCCTTCATTCCCTGTCCTGGAAAAGTCTGTCTCGAGGTTCAAGCCTCGGCACGGTCGAATCGATGCTCGTTCCTTCGGTACGACCCGGCGACCGCATTTACGCTCTCGAGTCCGAAGACGGTCTTCCTCTCGCCGCGACCTTTAACTTGACCTGACCTGACTTGACTTGACTTGACTTACACTCGGCACTCGGCTCGAAGGACGAGGACTGGGACGGGGATCGGGACTGGGACTGGGCCTATACATTTATTGGACGACTCTCGGCTCGACGGTGCTCGAAGCTCGAAGCTCGTCGAGAACAGGAGGTCGCCGATCGCTCCGACTGTGCGGGGCATGATTCTCGTCCGCTGCGTGAGAGAACAGGTGTACCATGTTGGTGTCTCCAGCATGGGTTTCACATCGAGGCGGCGAATGTCGATGAAGCTCGGCTCGGTGCTCGGCAACTTGGCCACATGTGCCCACTGTGCTGCGTTCTGGACGTAGTCATGAGATGCTCGCTCTGTGTGCCTTTCTCTGCACAGGTGTTGCTCAGGCTGCTGTGCTGCTTGCTCGGTCGCAGGACCTGGATCGGCAGATCCAAGCTCATTGCTCTGTGTCATCTACACCATCTCTGAATCCAGATTCGTACTCCACTGTACAGTACTTGGACTTCTGCCTGTGCGCATGCAATTTCTCTACGAAGAGATTGATTAATTGTCAGCTTAATTGGAAGTTGCGCTTCCATTCTTGTTGTAAGTTCCAGCTTTTTATTAATGAGCCCTCTGGTATGGAATGAAAGTACTGAACTCGTAACCTGATGTGCAGTATTATTAAAAAGTGAACGTCCTAGAGATAGAAATACAGCAAATCCAGCTTGATCACGTGTTTGGTAAAGTCCCTTATCCGTGAGCACAAAAGGAAGTGATCATAATTATGTATATTTGTAAACAATGGTGAACTGGGACAAGAGAGATCACCTGTATCTCATCGCCAAACGAACAGCTGATATCAGTACCATAATCGTTACTTCATTGACACAGAAGCTCCGTCAGTTAAAGACGCCTCATTCAGTAATTGCATAACTTAATGAGTCAAGATGTGATATATATATATATATATATATAACTAATTTTTTACGCCTTTTGCTCTACGTTAGATTTAAGTAGTAATCTAACTCTTTTATTTTAGGGTCTTCTATATGTGCATTCTTGCATCTCCATGTGAGTTTCATTCTCACGTGTATGCACTCGGAGGTAATCCTTTGTATGTGTGTAATGAAACAACGACTGCCATAATAGTCACTGGTGTTTAGGGTCTGCTTTAAGTTCCAGAGTTTGTGACTAGCAACATCAAAATAAGAAATAGATCCTGCAAAAGAAGATTAGTACCGAGGGAGATGATTTAAATATTCTTCTTTTTTTTCATACTCATTCATCTAACTCATATAGTAGCATGTATACTTCAAAACATTATATTTCAAATATTTTTGCATATGCTATAAAAATTAAAATTCACGCTGAGACATACTCTTATCAAGAAATTTATGGCACGTTGTATTGTGAATATATCTTACCTTCAGTGAAATTGCTGTTGGTTGAGATGAAATAAAGTTTGAATGCGCGAGCGAGGAACCAATGCACCTTGGGAAGATGGGCGGTCCGAGTTGTCGGAATGGAGTCGTGACAGCAAAGGAATAACAACGATGAGGTCGCGAGGTACTGGCCCTAAGAAAGCTGCCATGCAAAGGATTTTGATCCTTGGCTGTAGTGTCATCTTGGATGACCATGGAATTGTGGCGGATGAGTGATTTTAGGCAGCTTTTCTAGAAGTGAAAGTGAGTTTAGTTGTGCCAGAATTGTGCAATGAAATCCCAATGAGAAGAAAATGTATCCACCGTGAGTAACGCTAGACTTGAGAATCAAGATGACAAGATGTGGGCGAAGGTGTTAATTTGTGACTAGTAATTAGAGACGGATAGAATCTTGTGGGAGGGTCTAGCTTTACACACGACTTTTAATGTAAACGAGTCGTAGTGGATCAATCCTAAGAAACCATCTTGTTCAGCGTTCTATGTGAAAACGCTGAAGTGTTTGATTAAAGAGAATCATCTACCAGAAGTTTGTATTAGTATTGCTGCAAACAAAACGACAGAAAACTCATGTTAACCCGTGTTAGCCAGGAAAAACCATCACATGTTGCAAAACTTGGAAAAATGATTTCTTATTGTTAAAAAGCTGAAAAAACGTTGCATGTTTATCCAATTTGCAAATATTAAAACTTTCCTTGCCTTTTGTTACAAAAAGCATGTCTCTCTTCTCTAGGTTAACTCATTTTTCTGTCATTAAATCTATCTCACCTCTCGCTAATGGACTGATGGAAAGAAAATAAATTGACACTCTTCTCTCTTTTCTTCTAAAAAGCAGGTTTTTAACGAGATAAACTTGAAAAAATAACTCAGTCATCATCCATACTGTTTGCATCACGATTTTAAACAAGATCAATTGCACAAAACAATATAATTACGACTTGTCTTGCTAACTTCGTTTTATCAGTTTTGGCACTTCGCTCATCATAGCAGGCGGTTGTCGCACTTTTGTTATAGAAACCTCCACGAGGTTATGACGCGATCATTGTGGAGAGATATCTTAATATGCTTAATCTCGTAAAAAATTGCAAGGAGAGATAGTAGCTAGAGACTTTTTGGTCTGACATGTATTCTATTGATGTATGCAAGAATATTTTACCATGATTATTATAGAAATTTAGCATAATTCAAAGTCTATTTTAGACAAATGTATATAATTCTATGCAAGGTACTAGGTGATGCAATCCATAGTAAGCCAATTAACTTGGGTGTTGATTTTTTAAATGCTCATGGACAATGTGATATGTTTAACCCTGATAGTTAGGTTATCTTTTGTGAATATAATACATTTCCCATCTTGAAGCTAGTTGTTTCTTACATCTTATCCTTTTGGTTTCATTTATGTAGGACTTGATGGGGTGTTACATGTCTATTTGCTTCGTTACTTTCGGTTCCATTTCTAGACTTGAACTAACAGTCAAACCCAGGTTTGCCGGAGTGTAGTAGTAAGTAGTTGTCACATCCAACACATGCTCTTCACAAGTGTGTGCATGGATAGGGTTGCCAAAAGTTCGTGATGATTACGGTGGTTTCTCAAAGAAATGTCGTTTTAAAAGGCTTCTTCTGTGGTACTCGAATATGAATATGAAATGAGCAGCGTGGACGAAGACTGTACCCAAAAAGACCATAGGATTGTCTTATTACCCAACAGTTACAAAATTGCTACTGCAAAAAGATGCAGAATCACGCCCGATCCTCTTTCCACATCCTTCATGCCACGATGTTGGACCAGAAGATAATTATCTGCCTCCCTCTTGATTTCATAGATTGGCATGTCAGCAAATCCTTTTGGTCATTTCCTCACTTTTTAACGAATGTTTATACATGTGTATTTCTCACGTTTTTATCTGGCACTTAATTTTGGCTATACTCAAATTTTGTAGAGCTTTTAAGGACTCTTGGGAAGCAGGCGGTTTGAATAATGCCAACCGCACCCTTGAATATCCTTTGGATTTAAATGGCAACCGGATACTCAAACGTAAAACGATCCCACTTCTCACTCCCCCCTACAAGCTCAGATATTTTCTCCTTTTTTCCAACATGTGCTAAAGTAGGCCCAAACGAATCGTTCAGCCTTAAATTTATTGGCCATATCGTCGACTGAATCTGGGCGAATCTGTCTAACCCCGTCAGTACAGTACTCCATGGCCACGAAACGAACCGTACTCTCCTGCTGCTGCTCCTCTCCCTCGTCCACCTCCTGGTCTACTCGACCGCTTCTCAGTTCGAACCAGGCACTGCGGTCTAACACCTTCAGATTCTCCACCCGGTAGCCCCATGCAATTCCGTAATATCACGTCCAACCTAGTACAGTCCACCAATCCCAATCCTTATATATACATAGCCCTCGGCAAGTTAATGTAAAAATAAAAGTTACCCGAGTAAGCCATGTATCTCTATGTTGACTTTTACGATATTCGTGACACAATTTATTTTTCCTTTAATCTCAGATTAAATATCGAGTTACCCGATACAAATTTTAAAAGATTCAAAAGTTATTTTTACATCCGGGTAATTACCTTATTATCTTTAACCTAAAGATAAAAATTTATATATTTAGTACAGATCAACTGGATCGTTTCAATAAATATGCAAAATTGTATTTTGAATAATTAAAAAAAAAATATATATTTTGCAGTTAAATGTGCTCTACCTTTACCTACCCTCTATAGCCAAACCTCTATCTTCAACTTTTACCGGGTAACACTTTTTCAAAGAGGACTATATATAGAGAGGACAGAGATCGAGATTAAGGTGGCAGCGGACACACTCGAACGCAACAGTCTACTCTACTCTACGGCTTCTCAGTTCGAAACACGCACTACGGTCTAACACCGTCAGCTTCTCCACCCGGTAGCTCGCTGCTACTCCGGAAGATCACGTCAAACCTAGTACAGTCAACCCATTCCAGTCCTGATATAGGACAGAGATCGGGATTCAGGAGGCGCAACAGTCTGTCACCGTCCCCAAGCCCGGACAGGGACAGGGGGAGTCCGAAGTCCGGACCCGGATCGCAGACTTCTTGAGACGAAGTCGGACCGAGGGAAGGCGAGCATCTGGAGGGAAGGCGAGCATCTGGTGCTTGGACTTCTCGAGCCCTCCAGTCTCAGACGCGCGGCCCGCTGTCGCTCGGGCAGAGGAGAAAGAGGAGCGGAGAGGAGCGTGGGTCGCCATAACCATGCGCTCCAGCTGCACCGCTCGCGGACCGTTGGCCGCCTGCGCGCTCGCGCTGCCAGGCGTCGTCGGCGGCGCTCCGCCTTCGAAATTCGATGGGCGCGGGCCGGGCAATCGACCGCGCTCTGGCTGCGACTTCGGGCTCGCGCTGAATCGTCGTTCTCCTTCTTGTTCTCGTGGCCTCGTGCACTCTCCTCCTCCTCCTCCTCATCGAATTGCGTCTCGCGGATCGGGATTGGCGACGAGGCGAGCGACGGAGTCGTCGTCGTCGTCCTCCTCGGCTCTGAAGGAGATGGAGGAAGTTCAATTCGCCGAGTCCGAAGCTTTGGTGCCTGCGGGTGTGGCGAACGATTTGGTCCCTGAAGCTCTCGTGTGGGCTGCCCTCCATGGATTCGTGGTCGGCGACAGGTCCGTGGCGAGCTCCGGGACCACTCCCGGCGTCGGTATGGCCCATGTTCCTTTCTCCCTTCTGCCCACGCCCATCCCCGCCACGGCCTTTGCGCAGGCCGTGGAGTTGTCTTCTCTCTTCAATGATCTCATCGACAGAGTCAGTTTGGATGTGGACTTTCTGAAGCAGGCGCTCGCCCGAACTCAGAAGGCCGACGATTTCACAGCCAGGCTTCTGTCGATGTATTCTACGATTCTGGACGAAGGAGTGAAGCAGGACATTCGGCTCGGACTCAGTCGATCGGATTATATGTTAGATGTCGCCACCGGTGATCTCCTTCAAGTGGAGCTGAACACCATATCTTGTTCTTATCCTGGATTAGGATCTGTTGTCAGTGATTTGCACAAGTATCTCGTCACTGAGCTTGAATCGTCGACCAAGCTGGACAGCAGTAGGGTCCCTGAGAATAAGGTCACTGAAGGGTTTGCCAAAGCTTTATCGCTTGCTTGGAAGGAGTACGGGAACAAAAGTGCCGCAATTCTCATGGTTGTTCAAGGGGAAGAGTGGAATATGTACGATCAACATTGGCTAAGTTACCGAGTGAAGGAATTGTACGGAATTCGGGTGATTCGGAAAACTCTGGCGCAGGTCCACGCGCAGGGGAGTATTACCGCCGATGGAATGCTGGTCATTGATGGTCAGGCTGTATCTGTGGTCTACTACAGGTCTGGTTACACTCCTGCTGACTATCCCTCCGAGGTTGAGTGGGAAGCGAGGCTGCTTATGGAACGCTCTTCAGCCGTCAAATGCCCATCAATCTCATACCACTTGGTTGGAGCGAAGAAGATACAACAAGAGTTGGCCTTGCCAGGTGTGCTTGAGAGATTTGTACCTGATAAACAGGTAGCTGCAAGCTTAAGAAAATGTTTTGCTGGTTTATGGGGTTTGGAAGGTGCCGAGAGTGAATCCATTATACAAACCGCTATCAAAGAACCGCATAGATTTGTGCTGAAACCACAAAGAGAAGGAGGAGGCAATAACACCTATGGGGACGATGTGGCGAGCAAGCTGACTGAGCTGATAGCGGCAGGGGGTGATGGGCTTGCCGCGTACATTCTAATGCAGAGAATCTTCCCGGCGGTACACACCTCATATCTAGTTCGCCGCGGTGCCTACTCTGCAGAGAAAACTGTCTCCGAATTGGGAATATTTGGCGCTTACGTTCGAAACGGAGACCGAGTTATTTTGAATGAGCAATCGGGTCATCTGTTGAGAACGAAAGTGTCACACTCTAATGAAGGTGGAGTTGCAAGTGGATACGCCGTGCTCGACAGCCCTTATCTCAGTTGAGATGTTCACCGCACCGTATATAAATTCTTTTGGATCCGCTTATATGTCCCATTCAAATGGAAGGACTTCAAATTATCCTTTGTCATATAATTGCAGCAGACAATTTTCAAAAGAAAGCCTGTCTGGTTGGATTTCGGTTACCAAGAAAACAGCGAAGAATATGTTAATATTCTAGAAGAAGGACTTGCCAGAAGGACTTGCCTCTTTCCGGAGAAACTGTGCTCCCTGCGGCTGTAGAAGGTAACCACTCCTCGCTTTTAGATTTCACCTGTCCAATCGTTCGTAATATACCTTAGAATGTAACCATGCATCTTCATGGCTACGTTTGAAGATTCTGGGTCTCACAATTAGATGACTGCTTTAGACCTTCTTTGAGGGTCGTCCATTTTTCCCCAAAGTAATCATTCATTTGGTCCACTTTAAGAAGATGGTGACATCTGTACAGAGGTTTAGTTTGCACTGTTAGCGGCCTTGCAGATACATTTATCATTGTATTTCATATCCACTTCTTTCCTCTACGAACTCTGCAGCAAAACCCAGGCTGATTTAATGTTATCTCACAATTTTCTTCCAATTTCACGGCAACTCTACAGTATTTTGGCCAAGTAAACTGCAAAGCTCTGGTTGGGTAGTGGGAACAAGCATGACACAGAGCTGCGATGTATTCGTCGGGGACTACGTTAATATGTACTGTGTCTCGAACGGGGCAGCTTACTGCCATGTGAGAAGAAAATACCCGTATGATATGGTTGTGGATCGTAGTTACTTACCTGGTGGATCTAAACCGACTGCTAAGATCCCCTGCCTCCAAACTTACGTACTTAATGGTAGTTTTGCTATATTTGCGCAGGTAAACTTTCTGTCATTTGCCGAACATAATTGGCTGGCAGCAACGAAGGTACATCTGAAATGATTTAGGAGAGGCACATTATCATAAGAGCAGTGCCTGTGTTTTCTATTCATGCAATAAATCCTCAAAGCCCTAGATTCTGGCATCATGTCGGTTGTTATCATCGATTTTAATGGCACGTCACGTCTACACTGTGCCACGTCTGCTTCCATGCCATTTACTCACGGAATGCAGGAGAGCATGTCAGCTGTTTTATTCACTATGCGGATATTTGAGATTAGTGGCACTTAGGTATACATTTGATGAGGCACTTAAATCCAAGAAAGTGGACTATCTTGCATGGAAATTATATTTTGGATGAATATCCTCGGACTTAAGCTCCTTCGGCTAGGTACTGACTTAAAAAGCTTATGCGCCAGATTTAGAAGATATGAGGACAGTGAATTGTGTGGAACCAGCTGCTTACAAGCCAGCAAGACATGAAATTGTTTGTTGGATTCTTGAGAGAAAACTAGATGGGATCCTGCGGAACACATAATAGGGACCAACACAATTCATTTGACGGGATTGGATCTCCACATCTCTGCAGCACCGTCACCCATGGTACATTACGAGTTCTGGGTTGCACCTAACCCATAACTCGCATTGTATCTTGGGTGACGGAGTTCTGGGTTAGGTACAACCGAGTTGTCGTAATGGAACATGGGTGATGGTGTGTTCTACCATTCTAACAACATGAGGGTATTGAGTTGTTGTAATGGAACATGGGTGATGTTGTGTTCTACCATTCTAACAGCATGAGGGTATGATGGAAACCAGTTAGGCACATTTTCTGCGATAAGTTATATCCAGAGGTATCGAAAGTTTACATTTCAAGTTTACTTTGTGAATCCTTTCAGAAAAGCACAGTTACTACATTCATGCAAAGGATGCTCCCATCGCACCGGTCAGAGTCTTCATCAACATTTCAATTTTTACATAGTCTAGACCCTCAATACGAAAGCTCTGCTTTGCGGGTAAGTTCAGTGAAATACCTTGAGCTACTTGTTGCCAACCTTTCGTTTTGGAATGCTTGAAGATTGTGCCATAACTACACAAGACTTGATTAGCGTTCCAACTACTGTTAGTCTCATTGAATTGAATACGTACACTGAATTTGACACAGGTTAAAGAATCACGATAACGGTTGTGACGATTTTGCTGCACATGAGGAGGGTTCTACGCTCTTTACAGGGATTGTAGCGTTTTGACGCGATTGATTGACCTGTCTAATAACTGCTCCAAAGTGAATTGACTTCCACGCAGTGCAAAGTCTTCATTCTTTGGAGCCATATTGAGCCAGCCTGCTCGAAGCTTGGTTCTCGGTGTTTAGTTTGTGACGGTAAGTGCAGGGTGTCGAGGGACCCATATCACAAAATGAATTGTGTTGGTTTCCAGCAAGTGTTTGCGTCCCGTCCATCAACTAATTTCTTTGATTCTTGAGGAGCTTTCAAGTTACATATACAAGATGGTCTACATAAAGATTGAAGTTCCAACAAAGTCATTCAACGAAGTTCCTACTTGGCTAAAGACTTTTCATGGGATTCTTGAAGTTGTGACATTGGTTTGAATGAATGCACATGTATGAATGCTGTGCTACTATGGATTTTTTTTTTCATAGTATATTCATTCATCCAACAACAAAAAGTTATATACACTTGCTTTGTCAAATCTTTCTTTATATTCTTCACAATCCTTATAAACGAAGTCAGACTGGTATATCAATTGCCAACCTCTATATGATGTACATCTAAACATTCTACATCATTCATATGTAAAGCCAAGATAGTCGCACAAAAAACACAACACATTACCAGATGAGTTTTATTTACCATAATAGTTTTAGTTTACCATAATATTGTTCACAGAGGAAAAATACAATCACTCGTCACTCAAGACCAATTCAGCTAGATACATCGTCCAAAGCTCGCTTGTACAATGATTTCAAAATTTTTTTAGATTCATTTATATGGTCTGAAACATATGTTTTAGGCACTACCGCCTCGCTAATAGGGTCGAACCGCATGAGACTTCTCTTTTATCCTCCACAACCTCTACCAAGAATCATGAACCAAGAACCATAGCCTCCACCACGTCGCCCTTCGACCACAACTCTCAGCGTCTCTTTCATTCCAACTACTGTTCAAAATTGCCGAGGGCTCGTTGCGCGTACAATAGCCTATCACTTCCCTTTGAGATCAAGTATTATTCATCTCCAACATCATTTTGAAATCAAAACAATGTCTAAAATTCCTCAAAATATGTAAAGCACACATATGGAACCACTAAGTGCATGATCTTGCGTCCCTCACATTCAAATTATAGGTGGAAAAATCTTATTGATATCATTCAATAATTGATATCCTTGATCTGTATATCGTTGCACCAACTATGGCATATGACATAATTATTTGCATCCTTATCTCACTTCAAGCACAATAATTGATTTACTCTTATGAAAAATTGTGAAACCACACGCTGAGCTGTGCTCATCTTTCCAAACAGATGTAACACTATAAACCTATTTGTGGATACTATCAAGCAATAGTCAGGCTATGCAAAGATGAAAACATAATCAAAGTTGTGTCATTTCAATCCTATTGAATACATTTATTTGCTATTATTGTCGCGGAAATGTTAAAATGATCACATTGAGACTAGAGTCATTGAAGCGTCACGGTCACATGATTTGTCAAAATTGAATTATTTTCTGTCTGTATCAGCTCTGATTTCTTCTTCCTTACATTTCATCCAGCTGGTGCTGTTTTCAACCTCATACGTGAAATTGCTCGTCCAAGAACCATGTTATTACCTCCAGAAACATCAAATTTGTCACTTGAAGATATGATGTTCAATGTCCAAGCCGTGGTTTGTGATCATTTATGCGTTTATGATCGTTTTAACAATAGATGTGGTTGTTTAACATCTCCCTATTGTTGTTGCATATATGAATTACCTTGTTCATCAAATATGAATGATACAAATTCACTTGAATTTGTTAAGGTATCAATATCTTCTTGACAATAACTATCAAGTGTGTCAAATTTTTTTCCCAACAAATCAATAAGACAACTAACACAAATGCAAAAGACTATATCATCTATCAAACATTCATCTCGTAAATAAAATAAGTTGTCTTACTAATTGGCACAATAAACCTCCGTAATAGTTTATCTAGTGCCAATATTCCATCCTTCACCCCATCCTCTATAGCAATATGACATCTACAAAACATCATATGACTTTGCAAGTCTAAGTATAATGTTTGTGTATGATATAATTGCGCTGCACATGGTCAACCTCATCATGTGCAACGTCAAACACATTTTGATGATGTATGGTGATATTCAAAGTTGAATTTTCAAACACATTTTTTATTTACTCCTTTGACATTCAAATGATCACGATTTGCTTTCTAGAAACGATATTTTAATAGAGATTTTGAATAGCTTAGTTAACTCTTGTAAAGATTTTCAAATCTGTTTTTAAATTCCTATAAAAACATTAGATAATATTCATGCTCAAATTTAACTAGTTTTGAGAACAAAATCATGACAAAGTCTAATTTATTGTTTGTGAAAGATTGGATTTATATGCAAGAGAGAGCTTTAATCATTGTGATATTTTATCTCCTATCTCTTGTATAATATTTTTATGAACTTATACAAAATTATCATAAAAAGATTTATTCATCAATTTTAACACATATTTGAGCTTCAACATGAAGTATAATGTGAAAAAATACTAAATAAAATGATTGCTTTCAATAATGTCATTCATGTATTGCAAAATTTGATGAAAAATTGAGTAATGAAAGAATTATGATGAGAATTTGTTTTTATCTTGTATATAAATTATTTTTTCATAGGTTTTCAATCATATGATAAGCGATTTTTTGATTTTACCTGATTTTACTTCAGCAAAAGATGATGTCATCTTATCAATAAATGATTACGTGGAGTGCAAATCTTGAAAAATCTTCAAAGCGGACAAAGAATGGTAAAATTATTTAAAATAAAATTTAGATCAAATAAAAAACCATAGGAAGAAATTATAGTGTTGAGGTTAACTCCGATTAAGTTATAACCTTGGATACTAGCTAAAAATAGCTAGAATAGTGGTATCGAATGGAGGGATTAAATATTCCAAGGCTTTTGCACTGTATAGATCTTTTTCAGTTATTTGAAAAAACTCTCACGCTTGTTCCCGTAGTGAATGTAACAATCAGAAGAAATGAACCACGTTATATCTTGTCTCATTATTTGTGTCATGTGATTTATTGTTATGTTAGTTTTTAGAATGTATACTCTTAATTGGTATAAGAGTTGATAGGTTTTTGATGACGACAAAAAGTCAACAGAAGTTCAAAAATGTTTTTGTTTTGTTTTTGACGATTTTTCAGACGATGACGGTATTCTGACCAGTGACAATTTTTTGACGGTGTTTTTCTTGCTCAAGAGATTGCTAAACTGAAAATGATTTGAGTTTGTATCTCTATGTATTGGGAACTCTGATCTATGAGTTCAGGCAAAAGATTTTTGTCGGATGCATGAAAAGACAATATTCTGGCCAGTGCGGTATTGTTGTTTTTGATATTAGAAACAAGTTGGAAGGTTAGTAATTACGTCTTTGAGTTTTACATTGTTTGTGAATCTGAAGTACAAAGTTGAAATTCTCTTTATGGTCCTCGTTATCTCATTTGGCCTGCTCGTGAAGTTTTTTTTTTGGTTCAGAGTGTTGTCCCTTGTCGTGTGAATTTTATTTGTAGTGATTCTTCCCACCCATATTTGTTATGGAGATGTATCAATTTTGTGTTCTAGAAGCGTAGTTTCTACAGTGAGGTCTATGTGAGGCAAATTTTCCAACTCTAACTGTTGTTTGATGGACGACATCTTGGTCTTTCGGCTTGTAGACCAGTTGGACAAGTGAATTATCCAAAGATGTGCCAAAGCTTCCACCAATGGAGTTCTCTTAGTCTAGGATTGACAGGCTGGAAATGGGTTCATATGTGCACGAGATGACTTCATTTTGGATACTTGGTATCAGAGTAGTAAAAGACTAAACGACAAGTTTTTTAAACCTGATCCAACAATCAAATGAATAAGTCACGTCTAACATTTAGCTTCTTCTGCCCAATAAATTGTGAATAGAAGCATGATCACTTCGAATCATGTTGAGCTCCAAAAATGGAAACAATGATAAACTTTCATGAGACGCTCCATCCAAACGACTCATTTGTTCTAAAACTTCTAGAATTCTTTGTCCAAACGACACTTTAACGCTGTTTCTATGCTCTGCCAACCCGGTGAGAGCAACTTCAACTGCAACTTTGGCGTGATATATGAAAGGATGTGTATCAGCACCTCTATTGCCCCATGATTGAAGAACTCCTCAACAATTTCACACCTTTTTACAATTGACAAGGACATAACAGTGACATTGTTGTTTGGAAGTAAAAGCAACAGAAGGATCCCAACGTTGTTAGTGGTTCTTGAAGGGTTCTGAGCTCTCTCAAGAGCTACATCAAACAAGTCATCTACTAGCAACTCCTAATAAAGGGTACAAAGAAGACAGGAGTACAGGAGTAAATGTTTAAATGTCTACGATGAGAGATTTTTGTGCAGTCAAATTTGATTGATAGCACTAGAAAATATTCCTGAAATCATAATGTGCATAAGTGCATCCACTAATTTCCAAGTGCTTTCAGAAGATTGCTATTAGATCTATGATTCTGTCTAGCTCTCGTGGCAATTAAGCAAAAATTGATGATCATTCTGCGGAGAGAAGGTTGTGGCAATATTGCGTATGTAGTAGTCGATTAGGAATGTTGGACAATGTGTCCTTGTTGTGCATGAGCAGCAAAGAAGGCGTTAAGCAAAGGAGTAATGCAGAAATTTAATCTGAGCAAGCGAAAGAAAGAGTGAGCACGCAAACAGGCTGCATTAGGGGATGATTGGTGACAAGAATTGGTCGTTCTATTGCATGCCAAAACTCGCCTATAATTTGCTCTTTGCATGCATGGAATGAAAAGCCAACATAGTCTCTACTCAACTGAAGACATCACTTGGATTCATCTTTGATTGCTTGATTTAGCCACCGGATAGACGAGCTCGAAGGCGAGGAGATCTTTGCACATAATCAGGGACGCGGGCGAAGAAGCCAACGACAAATCAAAATCTATCGCTAGCGGATGAAGACATACTTCTATCAAGAAAGACGATAGAATTCTTTCGTATTTTTTGACTAAGTGGCGCTCGTAAAGGCATTAGTGATAGATTCAAGAAGTTTGACAAAAAATGCAGTTGAATTTTTCTAACTATGTTTTCATCAACTTTGAATATGAGTGTTTCTCGTCGTAATCTCAAGAGCAAATCTAGAGGCTTAAGACATATCTGGAGAGTTTAGGATGGTAATTCAAGCAGATGCCTACCTTGCAGCAAAAAGCACCATCTTGGAGTGCATTGCCAAACCAGGTTCGAGCTCAAAAATTTAGTACAGCCTCTTTACTCACTCACTTATAAATCACTCCCATGGACTGAAACCTCACTTGCCGTCTATAAAAACGGCTCAATAATTTCAATGTTCCACCTTGTAAAATGGGCTCTATTGAACGATGCTACCTTTGACTTTTTTGGCATAAGTAGACACTCCGGCGGAGTCTAATTTAAGTAGTTTAGCCCTGATTAATTTAGACAATTGTATGCCCGATTGTCTACATTAATCAGGCCTGGTCATGTTTGGGAAGCAGAACAAAACCTAACAGAAGACTAAACTACTATTGCTTCTTTCAAAGTGAAGTAGTTGTTGACAAGAACATTGGGAGATTCTGCCATACATCTTTAACTTCAACAATGATTCTTGTGTATACATTTTCCACAGTAACGATGTAATGAAACGTACAGCTACTTTACACAAGAGGTCCCTCGAAAGCTAACTAACACCAAACTTGATACGGATTGAACTTTGAGGTTGCTTACCATCATAAATTGTCCAAGCTCTAGGGAAGAGGGCGTGGTACGTAGAATGTTTACCATCAAGATTACAATCCCGATACCGACGTCATTTCTTTATTCCTAGAGATAAGTATATGATCAGAACTGTACACACAGTCAACTTTCTAGTTTGACTCAATTCTCAAATTCATATAACTAGAAATGGCGTAAGCGCTACGTACTCAAAATCCGCGGATCGACCAGATGTTAGGACCGAAGATATTTGTTTTTTCACTTCATTCTCCTTCTCGCGATTTATGAACACCTCCACAGTTGAGCAAAAACAGAGTCAACTTGCTTGCGATGGTGACTCTAAAAGAGAAACAAATTCAACCGAACTAAATTACTGAGAGTGTATCAGTATCTCTCAAATTAATATCTACGTCTATGACCAGTTTTTAAACTCACCCAAAACTAATTTGCAAGCTGCTGCGCTTCTATACAGAGCCAAGGTATAATCTTTCACCTCAAAGTAGGCAATAAAATACCGCGAGCTCATGTGGGCTGGGCTCGCTCGCTAGCGATGTATCACTGTAAGAAGACCAAATAAGATTAGTTGCATGCGGTACTAAGAACAAAGATAAGCTCCATGCAATACGCAAAACTCTAGCACCGAATAATGTTATATGTGCTTGATGAAGTCAAAGTGTAAATATCACCCGCATGAGCGCTCGGGGAATCGTTCTGCTGGGGGCTGCTGGTAAATGAGTATAGGAGGTGAAGACCAGAGAGGACTAGTAGGAACGCAAAGAGAATTCACCAATTGTACTCGCCCCCGGACAGGAATCCGAAATCGACTTTTGCTTCCTAGAGAAGAATCACAAAGTCAAAGTCTGATTAGCTTGGACTTGTTCACCACGACACTTCCAGCAAGATCGATGTATGCAGCAGTGACCAGCTCCCGCCTTAGACAGCGAGCAGAAAAGAATGAATTGGTGAAAATGTGAGTTGCACTTTCAACTTTTGTGTCTACCATTCCTAAACTTCTTGAAAATAAACTTGTCAAGATCGACACGTTTACGTATAACTGCCTTTTCTCCGTTGGTTGCCCCACAGACTACTCTTCCCATTGGTTGCCCCTGACACATTAATTTAGACGCCCAAATGCGTCATAGTTTAGGGAATTTAAGCTTTGTCGCATACGGTCTACAATAATCGTTTGTTACTTATAAACAAGTATGGTTATATCCTAACTTCGCCTGAAGTAACAAAATTAGCTTAATTTAGTCGTATCAAGAAAGTTAATTAACGTAATATAGACTCTTTTGGGCTAAAAGCCCACTCCGGTGCACTAAAAGAACGAGTGACAGGCTCGGAGGTAAAGGGAGGGAGAGTCACCATCACGCTGGGCTTGAATTCGGGCTGTGAGTCTTATAAGCCAGCTGAGATCTACCACGCTCCAACTCGGAGCCAATTAGAGTCCAGATACGCTGGTTAATTTAGATAATACAGTATACACGGTAGCCTAATATAACCATTCCTACTCATAAATGTTAAGGTATACTATAGATGAAAGTTTCCACCATAGACGCTACATGTGACAGTACTAAATCGTTAGGAACATCAGAACATTATGTTTCAGTATTTACTGTCGAAATCAGGTTTGTGTCGCTAGTTATCGACATGTTTTGCAGAATCTCAGATGTTCAAATTGACCAATATATGTCAGGGTGTTGTTTTTCCCGTCACCATTGTTGAAATTTATTTGTAAATATTTGAACCTGGATCATATGCCTCAACAGAAATCATACGGCAATGAGCAAGAGATCGGTATGGAGAAAAAGATAATTCGGGAGAAAAGTTTACCATCATATTATCAATAATGTGCCCATATGCGAATTCTAATGTCCGCGCAGATTGATATAGCCAACCGTTTGTAATTTCAGTGTTGCAAAGCGCACAAATCCTGTGTTCAAAGTGTACACTACAACTTTTTTTTTCAATGTTTGCATCGACCTTTACAGTGAATGTTCCGCAGAAATCGTATGTACAATGTGTACATTACAAGCTTTTGTTTTAATGTGTATGCCATGCTAATGTTCTCTCTTCAGATAGAATATATGGGAACCGTCCACCTTCAGGTTCTTCGTAGTTTAGTCCTCAAAACCTTAGCGACTGTCAAATGGAAAAGAATTGGGTTTGGTTTGTTTCAGCGCTTAGTTACCTGATTAAGTGAACTTCTCTCACTTCTGTATACCGTTTACAAACAAATTCTCATCACCCGAAACCAAATCCGCGGAGAACCAAATGCGTCAGTGGCTTCTTAGCCGATTTGTCACTTCGGAGCACTGCCGGAGTTCATCTCGTAATGTCGAATTTTTCGACTACCTACTATCTTTCTCTCACCAAACCCAAACAGACACAACTGAATCGCGCTATAAATACCGTTCCCGCCATGCCATTGCAGCTCGGATTCAGGACGGGGCATGTTTGGATCATGAAGAAAGGCTGGACCTGATCAAGTCAGTTATTCCTCCGATAAGATCTTTAAAGCCCCGTCGATGATTTGTCTGGCTTTCCCGTTGTTCTTATAATTACCTTTCTTCTCGTCGGTGCAATCTCGAAGTTTCTCCCTCATGCCCTGCTCCACAGCCTTCTGCCGATTCGACTCATTCCCCTCGACCAGAGTCTGGGTGAGATGAGCGACTTTCTCCAGAATAGGCTCGGCCATGGGGTCATGGCCTTCATTGGATCTGAGAACATCTCTGAGTTTCGAGAAGAACATGCCCTCGGCCCCATTGCCGATCAAAGTCTTAATGGTCGGGCATTGGAAGGAAAGACCCGACAGAGCAGCCATCGCTTGGACCTGCACCTTGGGATTTCTACTGGCCATCAGTTTTATCATCGGAGGAATCGCTCCCGCATTTGCGATCTGCATTTGGTGCTGGGGATTGTTGAGAGCCAGGATTCGCAAAGCCCTGGCCGCATCGAGTCGAACGTCATCGCTTCGAACATCCTCCTGCAAGTGGTCATTCCGATTTTCTCAGCATTTCAACAAGAAGTCGGCGTTTCTAAACCACACAAAAGTCCAAATCTTCAAAGCTTCCGAAACCAAATCACCGGCCCATGTTCCATCAAGTCCACAGCCGGAAAGTGACGTCGAGCTAATCACATGTTTGTAATGTACAGTCGGTGATTCCAGTCTTCTGATGTGGAGTTCGTTCTGTCAGTATGAGAAAACCAACTTCAGAGTGGAAATGCAATTCAGTCTGGAGAAATCGAAACGCTTGCTTACTTTGAGGTGACGTTTTCGAGTGACGGTCGATCTATTGTATTCCTTGCGGGGGATCTGCGCACGTTGAATCAGCCGAGTCAGTGAACGTCAAATGGTGATGGCGCCCGCATTCACTCACTCTTCCGAGGTCCACAAAACTCAAATCAGAGTGTAATTGGCATCGAGCTGTTGCAGGGGAAATCTGTACAAAACTGTGAAGCAATCATAAACCCTCGCCCACAGAAGTCAAAACAGAGTGTGATTCGCATCGAGCTGTGTGCGAGGAAATCTGTACAATACTGTGATACAATCATTAGTCCTCGCCCGCCATCGCCCCAAAACTCTGAAGCAAAGACTGGCGAAAAAATCAGGACCCAACCAGATCGAGGGGAGACCTGGCCGTTAATGTCATTGGGGCCGGAGTCGGTAAGGGGGGCTTTAAGCAGATCCACCAGTGAAGGGATGCCTTCGGCCCTGACGATCGTGGCTTTGACGTCCTGGTTGTTGTAAGCCAGGCTGCACTAGGCCTTGGCGGCCGAGACGATGATCAATTTCGCTGTCGTCACTTCGAGCGCCTTGACCAGCGCCTGAATGCACTCCTCGATGTGAGGGTCGCTCCCCTTGACCTCGCAGTCTTCCCAGTAGGCGATCTCGGCGAGAACTGCCGCCCCGCCGGCTTTGATCGAAGGCGTCTCGCCGTGCTTGATCAAGGCGGTGCAGAGCTGCACGTCTGGGACTCCTCCCTGCTCGCCCTTGTACGACATGAGCGCCTCTCGAGCGCGCTTCCCTTTCCCGACCAGGTGGCTCAATAAGCGGACGGCGAGCTCTTGACAAAGCGTGGATCTGCCGATGTGGGCGTGCCGAATGAGGCACGACATGAAGCTGCTGCCGACCTCGTCGCTGTCGAGAATGTTGCTGTCGACAATGAGGTCGATAACCTCGTGGGAATTTCCGTGGAGCGAGGCATTGAGCAGGGCCCCGAGGGCGACCTCGACGTGCTCGACGGCCTCGGACCGGGCGAGGCGCTTCAGCGGCACCACGGCCTCGATCAGACTGCTCAGCGGCAGCACATGGGGCTGCGTCGCCAGCACGACGATGGCGGTCGCCGCCAGGCCGGGGCAGGACTCGGTTCTCCCTTCGCGCACGACGCGCACCAGGAGCGCAAATCGTCGTCCTTGTCGAGCTCCTTCTGCTTGGCCAGGCTGATCAGAGCCCGCAGCGCCATCTCCTGCGACACCAACAGCAGGCGCGACGTATCGAGATGGACGTGATCGCCTCTGTCACATTCCCCGACGATTCTGAAGACGATTCTGCTCGTCCTTGCTCTTGAACCAGTGGCCCGGTAGGCCGCAGTCGGAGTCTTGCGCGCTGGCCATCACGGTCAGATGCCCATGTCGGGCCAAGTGAACCCACCATGTCAGGCACATGAGCCGATCTCTCTCTTCCCGTTTCCTGACAAATCGAGAGAGATATCGGAACCAGCTCCTGCTGTCCCGGGCTCGGGCGCTGATGCCCATCCCCATGGCGGCCCCGAAGGCCCGCACGGTGACCAGGCTCGAGGCCCAGTGCACGCATACGATGACCATGCTGATGATGAGCATATCCATCAGATTGGTCGTGCCATCGGGACATCCCGCAATTTTGTGGTAGCAATCGCGATTCGCGCGCAAGAATTTCACGGTGTAGAGGACGTAAGGCGCGTAGAGCGACACTTCGAGGAGAGGGGCCACTAGCACGAAATAGCCGAACACCCTGAGGGAGGCGGAAGCGGTGTCGTGGTTATTGTCGTGGAGCGCGAAGATGGCGCAAGGGACACCCGGAAGTAGAGGGAGTGCGCCCAGCTGCGCCTGTACTTGAGGATGGCCTCGAGGGTGAAGATCCCCCAGCTCAGGAGGCACACGCCCCGCGACATGAGCTGCCCGAACGAGATGAGCAGCACTCCGATCTGCGTCAGCAACAGCCAGCCCATGCTCTGCTGCGCCTGCTCGCACCACACCAGAATGCTGGCCGCGCGCTTGATCTCCTTCGACGGCACCACCCTGCCCTGCGCTTGCTCCCAAGCCGCATTCCACGCGCTGGGCTTCAGGCGGAAATCCTCCCACTCCTCGTCGCGCCCTTGATCCATCGCGCGCTCGATCTCCTCGCCCCTGCTTCCCGCCCGGCTCACCCACTCAGTCTCATCCTTCGCCTCTCCCCGAGCTCCGCACGAAGGATGCGCCGGCGCAATCCCCCCGTCCTAAAATCGTCGACATTTCCGCGGGGTGACAGGACATGGTGACAGACGAGCATTCATTCTCCGGGAGTCCACGGGGCGAGGAGGAGGAGAAGAAAAAGAAGAAGAAGGCGACACCATCCACCGATCGTCCCCCGCCGCCTCCACTCGAGCTCTGGTCGATCATCCGCCGACCTCGCAACGCAACCGAGCTTAGGGAGAATCTGGGACTTGCAGAGGTGCGACGATATAAGTCCCACGTTCTCTTTTATTCCCGGCCCCCCCGCAGTCCAAGGCCACTGGTTGGCGGCCGCTTGGAAAGAGAAAGTTCGATAGCACCTCTGCGCCTCGCTCGATGCAGAGGCCGCTCTTTGACTTTTGTGTCTCGCGTCCCAAATTCGGTGCTTTCCCACATGTTCCGGATTTTGACTTCGGGGGGTTATCATTTATTGGATCATTTTTCATCATACCCTTGGAAAAAAAATATTCTTCCAATTTATAAGACACATAAGATATTTTCGACCTGAATATTATTATTATTATTATTATTAACACTACAATCTTTGTCTTAGGACTTGGACCCGGCTACTTGGCATCGGTAGCTCCGGATGAGCTCACAAGCAAGTTTGTTCTTACTTTGATACCTCTGGAGCAAGTGGACCAGTGGTGATTACATGAAAGCAGATAATTAACAGACCTCTGGAGTGACATTGACTTTTCGGATCTCATGGAACAGTGAGAACCCTCGATGGATGACTACTGGAAACAAACTGCAATTCGAGCAATTTCGTTCTCGAGCTATGTATGCATTTCAGCGTGCTCCATAAAAGAGTCGTTAGCGAAACTCTTACATTGCAATCGGTGTGTATGCGAAAACCGATTTTCGAAGATAAAGTGATTCAGGAACGAAGAATCTCTATTACTTATTGAACCTCCTGAGACAACGGTTTGCTGTTCACATGCAGAACAAACTCCAGCAAAGGCGGAACAAAGCCGAGGGAGAAAAAGTCGGAGATGGACGTAGAATGCTGTCAACCCCGTCACATTCAGCACCTGCCTGCACAGTCTGTGTCATAAGCGGCATGAGAGGAATCAAAACACTCTTCGATCCCACGAGGGTTTATATCCATGGGGACAGTTATCGAGCTTCTCATGCGGACTCGTTTTTTCTCCTCTAGGAATGTCATGCAGGGGAACATATGAACGTGATTCATTTGTTCCTTGCTTGTTTTTCTCACTTCCATCAGTTCAAAATCCGAGAACTTCCTCATTCTGTCCTCTGGTCACGAGTGGCTGTGGCCTTAGTCCAACATTATGCCAACAAAGTGGCTTCAAGTAGTGAATACCAGGCACAGTGTGTTATTGCTATCAGAAGTACGCTCCCTGCTTCCAGAATCCAGCAGTTTGACGAGGTGATTACATGTTTCCCCAGGGCTTTCAGCATGCTGAAAGCCCTGTGGAGTTCATCTGGTGCAGACTGATCGACCCTATGTGAAATCGCAGTACAATTTCACTCTGAGTGGGAAGGAGCGAGGAGTAAACCAAAAAGGATGGAAAGAACCCATCATTTCCAGCTTAGTTCGATCTCTTCCAAATGGACAGTGGACGAGAGCCGAGGTCTTCCAGGAGGTCACGCTTTCGGGTTCTCTTCCGCTTTCTCATCGAGGTTAGACAAATTCTGGACACCTCACACTGCCTTAGAATGGATGAGTGAATCAATGCCTAAGCAACCCTTCCTCTCCACAATCATTGCTCACCTACGCAGTAAAATGGCAGCTTACAACGGGAAAAGTGACACGAACTTCATACTCGACGCTAACCACACACTTGTCTCCTCTGCCGAGCAAATTCATATTTTACAATCGGAACTACGAGATACAGAGACGAGGACTTTCTCCAACCGACCTAAACGGACGCAGTAAGTTCTACATAGTCATCGCTACCGTCCCAGACTGGTGTAATTTGGTCGATCGCATGATTTAATTATTATTGAGAATACCTGTTCTTGATCACGTCGGTTGTTCCTTCTCAAGGCTCACCAAAGCCTTTCAAGGATTCCAGGGAGAATTGCATGCTGATCTGATACCTTGGTTTCGTATCGCGTTGCATTTCTCAAGTTTACTCCTGGAGGCCGTGCTTCAGAGCGCTCTGCCCGAATCAGTTCCGATTCGACCCATTCTCGTGGACTGAAGACTTAGTAGCGATACGGCCATACCTTCATGGCCTCCACTCACTGGACTTCAGAACCTCCATTAGTCTCCATAAGAACTTGGCGGATCACACTCACGGATTAGATCTTCAAATGTCGTACGGTGCTCGAATCGCTTGCACGTGCACGTTGGAAGTTGCACTATGCAGCAGATTTGGCAGTCAAGGCCTTGCTCCACAATTATTTATTAGCTTCTTAGGATCGAAGTGCTGAGAAGTGTAGCACAAAGGATGGGACGACCCAGGAAGTCGTGCACAGATTCATTTTAACATCTCATCCTACCACTTTGCCAACTGACAGATGAGAACAATCTGTGAGAGAGTAGACTAAGTTTATTGCAGGTATTAGGTCTCCGCGAATGTATTGTTACATTTTTCCAGAACATGGAGAGTGAATATAAATTATGAATGTATTACAGATTGTCATCACTCAGTACATTTAGTTCCATGGAGAATAACAAAGCTGTATATGTTATTTTGGAGTTGTTAATGATATCACTCTGTTAATTAATTTAGTATCCATATGGCGGGGATTTTTCGAATTCATGTCTATTCGTTTTACTGGGACGGTTTACTGGATGCACACTCAAATACATGCAAATCTGAAAAAATGTGAGAATATTGGAGTTTAGAATTTCTATAATCATTTAGTTACGAGTGATGTATAGCATATGATAGTGTTTTGCTTTTATGTTATTATCATTGCTTGTTTGTATGAAAGTCTCACTTGTCCTCATAATATTTCCAATAATCATTTGTTATAGACCATCTTTTGATTTGTGATTAGCTCTTAAGTATCAATTATCTTATGAGAAAATTTGAAGATATTTTGTAAAGTTACAAACTGTCTAAATGTTAAAATCTAAAACTTAAACAATTTTATCACTAAAGTGTACACAAATGTCACATGGACATACATAACATAAACTATACTTCTTGATAAGCTGTTTTTTAGATATCGTTTGAGGTATATCAATCAAATCATAGACTGATTTATACTCAAGTCATGTTGTAATTTTATTTTCTTAAATTACATATATTATGTTCTTTCTGAAATTTAATTGCACTTTCAGAATAATATTACCTCATCATTTATGATTTCATAATCATCAATTCTCATAAGAATTTTCTTTATCATCAATCATCGAATTATGAATCATTATCATTGATAATAAAAAACAAAATCGGTGTCTACACTTAAAGTATTAAGTATTTTTTTATAATTTGGTGTTGAACAGAACTTTAAAGCGTTTACAATGCATATTCAATATGAAAGCATAAAATTTAAAATTACATTTTATCAACATGATTCATCAAAATACGAATCCACATTTTTGTTATTATTACAAAAAATATTTTTATTTCATAATCACACTTATTTTCCGAGTTTCATCATTAAATTACATTGTTCAAGCCACAACAACATCCAACCTATAAACCAAAATCCAAAAATTTGATCTTTGAGTATGGAGCTTCAAAGTCTACTTTAACACTCACATTCTTCTACATTGTTTTAGAGATTTAACTTTTTTTATTCTTATTCATTAGCCAGAATATAAAGACTGATTTCCTCTGTTCTTTTTTATTTGATGCAAATAAAGTTCAATTATTTAATATTTTGAACTAATTTTTTTATATTTCAATCACTGCGTTGTGTGTGAGATATGGATAAAATCTAAATGCGAAAGCGCAACAAAGCACAGGTTCTTCCAAATCCCGAAATGAACATTAGCACTGAAGAGCTATGATGTGTGGCATTCAGTTTAGAAACCAATTTGAAGTTGAGCCTTGTTCTGGGGCCTGATTTAAATCTCAAGGTAACTGCATCAGCCTCCAGCTTACGGTGAATCGAGGAACAATTCTCTGACGGCGTCAAAATCAGTTGACCAACAAGTGTTCAGAGTCTCTTAACCATGTTCTGTTTCACTATCAAGCTCTCTTGACCATACTGATTCACATTAAATTATAATGCATGCAGTGCAGTTGGAAGAATGAGTACAAGTTGTAACTTGGTTTAAATATGCCAAGTTATGACAATATATGTTGTGATTTGCACTTCATCATCTAGTGGAGATTATGAAAAGATAAAAAATTATTTTTCTAGATGATAGCCGAATATGATTCAAGTAATGAAGATCGTTCAGAAATGTCATATCTCTTTTTGTTTCAATAGAGCTAAATATATATGAATCTATACGTGCAAATTTTGACATATTTGTAAAAAATTGCAGAAAAGTGCATTTTATAAAGAGTTTGACCTAGGTAATGTGTTGTAATGGTTAAAATTTTATTTATGCCAACACTATATGTAAATGTTAATGATGATGAAACATCCAATAAAATTATTAATTAAAAGGTTTGATATTTCAAATAAAATATAATAAATCTTGCAAAAAACACAACTCATTGAAGTAGTTTAGTAGGTTGGTCGTGATTTTATTTAATAGTTTAACCCTATTATATTTGATTTTTGTTCTTTTTTTGAATCTATTACACATATATTAATTTGAATGCTCTGTTTATGTGAAATATATTAAATTTCAGTCATCGTAATTTTAACGGCATAACAATTAGTGATCAGAATTTGTTTGGATATCTAATGATTTGTATTAATATATTTTACTTGTAATTTAACATTCATCAAATAAAGTCAGATTCAGTTTATTAAAATAAAAGTATTGATGCATGATCAATGCTGTTATCCAATAAAACCCTAAAATACCTAATAGTAATCCAAAATCACCAATGCGATTTGTAGCAAAAGCTTTTGACACGCATGAGCTGCGCTAGGTCAAGTAAACCAAAAACCGAGTTTACGTGTACACAAATGTTGAAATAATGTTTTTAGATACTTGATATTTTGAAAATAAAAAAATATTTCAAAAAAATTAGTAAATCCAATTAGGTTATTCTTCAATTTAAATGATGTAAATCCAATCATATTAAAATTTTAATTGTAAATTTTTATATTTAATATATATAATATTAATTATCAATAATATTATTAAAAGTCTTTTATGAACATTAGAAAAATTTGCAGGATTTTAAAAAAATAAAA